TATATATATATATATATATATGGCTTAACGCTATCGTAGATACGAATATAATTTTCCGTTAATACACGCCATCTGCTTATAATTTATAATTGCGAAACTATATTTCATGATGCAGAAATGTCATAGGAGAAATATTACGTCAAGTGTAAAATACTTAATGTTATTAATACATAACGTAATGAGAATAATGCATGAATTACACGCACGTATACACGCGAGCTGCCGTCGAGTTAATTGCGATTATAGAGAGAAGCGCCATTAATTAATCGCAAAATTTAACGCATTCTATCGATATAACCATAACAGAATATTTAATTAAATCGGCAATTAACTACTTAAAACGTTGTTTACACTGCACGACACGATACGTACAACAGTGATATATACAATTAGTGATATAGAGCACTTTTAAAACGTTTTACGAACCATAATAATTATGCATCGTATGGATAATAATCAACGCGTTTAGTAGAAATAACAAAGTAGAAGTAACAATTGAATATGACTATTTTATACTGAGAACAATGCATAACGAACTTCAGATCAGAGAGTCATCTAATCATGTTTGAGTGCTACTGGATTATTACTCAACTGTAATCTTCGTTGAATGCACATATTGAGTTTGATTAATTGATACTGATATAGCAAATCTCTGTTACAACAATCTCTGCCAAACTCAAGATAGTAATAGTCATTCCCGTGACATATCGTGTAAAACGTGGGGTATAAACATTCTAATAACGCTAAAAAAATCAAGATGAAACATATTAATAAAATTCTATCTCGATACATTTAGCGTAAATTGAAAAACCTACAAAACTAAATTAATAACTGACCGTTCTCGGATGTGACGACCCTCCTCATCATCCTCCTCCTCGATGTCGTGTAAACGCGGGCTAAGTCGATGCTGAGTGCCCTCCCTACCGTAATCTTCTTCTTCGCCTATCCTTAGCTCACACTCCTTCTCTTCGTCGTCAAGATCATCAAGGTCTTCATCAAGATCACCGAGTGGTGCACGTTCTTTAAACTGAGCCACACAAATGCGTTTCGGTGGTTGATAAAGATATTGCTTCTCCTGTTGCAGAACTTTCTGCTGTTGTTGGTGCTCGTGTTGTTGGCTTCTTTGCTGCTGGTGGGGTTGTTGATACTGATGCTTCAGCAAAGAACTCTTCTTGGTCTCAGGGGTGGCCCCCGAGACATCAACACCACCCCCACCCCCGCCGCCGCCGGCGCACGGCAGGCAGCAAGACCACGCGCCCCCCACCTCGGCACCCTAGCGCACTCAATATCAAAACATCCAGGGGGGCCAGCTGCAGTCAGGGTATTCCGTTCCAAATCCCAGCAGAGACAGCGTCCGCGATGCTGAGCAACGTGCTCGCTGGGGATTTAGCAATCCCCAGACTCGAGCGAGTAAAGTGTCGCTTAAGTCGAGTATCGCGATATACACGACGATACCCGATGCTATTTTCTTTGTTGACTCTTCATGTCACTACTTAAGACGACGAAATGCGGTTTTGGCATGAGTGCAAACCTTGAGTGCCCTTTGCTCCGTTAAAGGCCGGTTGAATGTCGCCGTCTCTCAGCAACTTCACAATTTTGCCGCTTGAGATGTTTTGAAAGTTCTTAACAACCATATAAATGAGCAACGAGCAGTCGGCTCGCGGAACTCAAACCGTTAATTTAATTTTTTCAGAAAATTCAACTGTTCTCCGTTGCTTCGTGCTTACACTCGTCAACGTAATGCTTCGCGAGCTGCATGATTTTTTTATTTCCTCAGGACTCCGTCTAGCGTACTGTGCAAATTTTACACATTTTTTTCTCTCAAGTCACTCTTGTAAGCTACGCAAACTTTTTTATGGCGATAATTTAAATATGCAGAAAAGATTGTCCCTTTGCAAGGCTTTCGTTTATAAACAGATTAGCAATGTATCTCATCTCAATAAAAGCTATTTTGGCTAACTTTGCTTATATGACTGGGATATGTTTCATAAAACTGTAATCTGCAATGTTTGAATTATACATGATTTTCGGAGTTTTTAAATATATTTCTTTTCTTCTGTGTTAAAGATAATGGAAATAAGAAAACATGTATTTCTTTCTCACCATCATTTAATATATAAAATTTTTTAATAAAATCTCAACATCAAAAATGTATAGCACATTATTCTGTCTTTTTTTTTTTAATTTATTCTATCTCAGTGGAACGTTTTAATTTAACGATCGTCAGGAAATTGTCTCTCACGTCTGAATATGCTCACACAACGAATATCAAACGATAGATCAACTGAATATCGAACAGCCAGTAGAATTTCCATCGTGACACATTTAGCATGGTACCACATTAAATTAGTGATTCATATTCAAGCCACGTTCGCCATCATTTTTAGGTCGTTTTGATACATGGATTTGCCTTTTAAATATCATGATGAATTCCCTGTCACACTTTATTATTTCTGAAAATTAAGAACATATAATCTCAAAAATCATCCATCATTATTTTTAGAGTTCCAATACCTTCTTTTTAAAGCACTCAATTTCTTGTTCTTTATATCGACATGATACACGCATATTATTATTATTAATAAATCAATTATGGGTAAATAATATCTTCAAATATTGAAGAATCTCTCAATCTTTCATTTTTCAAACAAACACTCAGATTTTTAAATTATATCCTTACTCTCGATGTTGATTCTTTCGCAGAGTCCATTATTATACAACACTATCACGTAGCAGTAACATATTTACTAATGAAACGATTAATGGAGCAAGTTACCCTTTATCTCAAGGTTTCCTTTGATGTTGCATCGTCTTTCGTGTCACTCTTTCCCTTTGTCCTCTTGCCCACATGATTAAATCTGTCTGCAGCTTTTCCATCTGTCTTTAAATAAAAGTAAAATCCTGAACATCATCCAAAGTGAAATAACTACTGGCACAATTTCTTTATTCTAAGACACAATTTCTTTATTATAAGAAATATTTAATGGAAAATATCTTCTCTTAAATCTTCATGTTTATTTCGCAAATTAAAAATTTCATCATTATTCTCTTGATATTTTCGATTTACATCATGTGACTGAATCCTGTCCTTGAATCCTGTCAGTATTATTGCGTCTTACAAAGTCCCGTTTAGTCACAAGAGCACTAATCTCCTTTAGTCGACACTTACGCTGAGTTGTTTCAAATATCATAAAATGTTATTAAAGTAACATCCTTGTATAAGTTATTCTTACAACGTAAAAAACTTAAAATGAATTTGCCATTCTCTGATTTGTGAGTTTCCCATCTTATTTTCCCGTTCTCGTCACATTCACGCATTTCCTTCCAATTATTCACTCAAACTAACCATTATGAAGCCATTATGAAAGTAAACTGAACATGGAGTTTTGTCGTCGTCATTGTTGCCGTCGACGAGCCCACTCGTGCCTTTTAATTTATTTCGTGCTCGTCAGAACACTCGATATGCGGTTTAGGAAACTTTAAGACAACAAACCGCAACTAAGCTAGATATATCTATCATCCCTTTGCATCTTCTTGTTTGTAATACAGTTTACTGTCAATGGTGCTTACCGTTTGCTCGAGTTGCTTCATCGTCAAGTCACTTGTTTTCATGGATAATAGAATCTACATATTATTACTTGTTGAATCTATTCTGTTATTATCGATTGTTGTGACGTATAAAACTATGTTATCAACGATTTTGCATGTCGACATTTTCGCATATTTTTATTTCAGCATCTTGCTGTTGTAGTTTCCGTAATATGTGTATCGAACGGATATTATCATGTATGCTGTAGAAAATAGCACTGAGATGGCGAGTCGATTAGAAGAAACTTTAATTAATTCTTATTTCCGAACAGTGGATATTTGATTACAAAATTAATTAGTTAGTTTATTTATAGATATGTCACGTCTATTCCGAACACATTTTACCACATTTCGTTTCTAGTTAATCGTACGCGTGTTCAATCATCCCTCATGTTAACCCACTTTTATCCACAACGGCAATTAATAATATGTAAAATTAGCATTGCGAAAGATCGTAGCAGTCTATAATCAGAGAATACATGCAATTTTCTATGACACGCGATCGTCGAACCGAACGCACTCTTACGCACAAAATTCCCATTTTGGCACAATGTTTGAGTTATAAATCTAAATTACACGAACAAAATCACTCGAGGACACGAATGAGTTCTACTATTGTCGTTCCTTATGCTTAATCGTGCATTACAATCGGTTGACACAAATGAATTTTCGATTTGCACTCTCCGAATAACTCATTACTCGATTCGATTGCATCCATTCACTCGTGGAATTATACTTTACACTGGAATATGTCCCGTTTTTTTTAAAATTTCTGTTTATACATAGAGTTCATACGAATGCGTTTGACATATCGCGTAATTTTCAATAATGATGAATGAGGCTCTTGATACAGAAGTCAGACCAGAACACAAAATTGATTGTCGATCGTTGAGAAGGTTGCGCTCGGGTCTCGTAGAATAATTAGATATTGCACCGACGTTCTGTAAAATTTCGTGTAAGATTCACGATATGCTCGAAGAAAGAGCTCTCGTTTTATAATGGCAATAGAAGTTTCTTCGCACAACCGAGAAGAGAGATACATGCAAAAGCAAGAAATTATGTATCGTAACAATATAGAGACCTATGCAGTGCCACATATTGACAATGATCATGAGATATTAATTTTTCCATTCTATTATGTATTGTCTCAAATAACGAAATCAAACACGTATTATGTTACAATATTACTTTCTTTCTTCATTGCGCTACTCAATCTTAAATAGAGTACAATCAGAGGATCAAATCATTATAATTAAGAGGCTGTATCACGCGCGTGCATTTAATCTCAATAATGGTACTTTATTTTAGCAAGGGTTTTCTTTGGCGCAGGAAGCGCTAGGTCATAAATTAAATGCAAAGGTTAAGGCTGCAAGCTCTGAAGGCTGCAGAATGAAAAGACGAGCACGCAACGCATAACCCTATCACATTTCTAGAGGTGAATCTATGGTTTCAAAGTGAGAAATATGTTCGATTTTGCTGATAAATTAATGAACGACAAAACGTACTTATGACAACGATGTTATTTTTAATTATTGGCTATATAATATCTATATTCTATAATACATGATTGCTGACAGCAATAAGAAGATTCACGAGAATTTTAACGCAATATTTCAATGCAACAAATGATCTCATTTTATTTCAATACATTTATTACGTATGGCATCAAATCTAATATTCTTTGAAATATTCTATTTATTCCTTTTATTGCACACGTAAGCTTTTGTTAGCGATTATTAAATAGTCAAGTTTTGACTTTCGACAAGAAACAAACATTAAAAAATCATCAACAAATAATATCATTCTGTGATTACACTACGCTTTATTCTACATGTATAAGCTAAATCAAGCTAAGACGAAATCAATCACTACAAGCAATTTGTTTTAATGTCGTTGCACATTTTCTTTCAGCTTAAATCCTATACAGATTACACTGTAACATAATAGATTTTGTAGAACGATTGTAGAAGGATTAGTATCGAACAGGAGAGGTTCAAATTAAATACGTTCATACATGGGGAACACGACGAGTGAAGGACATTAGTAATTTAAGGGTCAGTAATTATAACCACGCGGAATATCCCAGAAACTATAGCTGCCAGCGATTGCAACATAATTCGATGCTAAATCAGTGAATTGAACATATAGTCATATATTGATATTGCAGGATGTAAATAAAAGTTTGTAGGTATTTTATAATAAATTAATGTCGCTCATTCCATTATTCGTCCATCTTTAAAACAAAATACTATAGCATTGAGACATTCGATAGAATCTTTAACTAAACATCATACTATCGCACAAGTATTCTATACTAATAATAAATATGCATTAAATAAATCCATAACATAATTATAAAACATACAACAAATGAGAAAGAGAATTGAAAAAATTAAAAGAAAAACCAATAATGAGTCGATAGTTGATAACGAAAATTGAACCGTAGAATACTAGGGACAAAAGCGTCTTCAGAGATTGTAAATTACATTCCTCTCTTAAGACTATACATATATCGCTATGCAGCTATATCGAGTAGCGTAATATGGAAATAGCTGACGTCAACTAAATGGTAAACTACTTGTTCAAATTACAAGATAATTAGGAAAACAAACGAAAATTACAAAACAATGGTTATTTCATCGAATAATCGAAATTAAAATCGCTACTAGCTTCACGTTTCATTAAATTAATTTAATCTAAAACATAAGCCCAGGAAAAAAATTTCTTTTTACACTTTATTAAATGTAGTGAATTATAAAATCTCACCTTAATTATCTTAATTGCATGCAAATTATGTACACACACACACACGCACGCGCGCGCGCGCGCGTATATATGCACACATATCCTATTTATATAAATAAGACAACCAAGGAAATACATCATAAAGAGGTAATCATAAAGAGTAATAGAAATAATTTGTTAATATCTTTTTACTTTTCTTTTACCATCGCCATTAATTAATTTTTACCCCTAATGTCAGAATTCGTTAAAAAAGTTTCAGTGTGTTCAAAATTCATGACAGTTTTTCACTGATATCTCTAAATAAGAAAAGTGAATTTAAGCGACTACAAGTAATCAAGCACAGCAGGATTACCATCCCTGGCCGGGTCGAGGATTTTAATATTTTCTCGCAATCTACCAGAATTTTTGCCAAACCATTAAGTCATGAAATTGCTTGGAAAGAAAAGCAGACAAACCTAAAAACTTAAAATTAAAAATACTGAAATGTTATATATAAATTCGTTGCGTTATGAAATATATATTTTCCCGCTGATCAATAGTTTCTCGTATATCTACGCGTAATTCATCGCAATAGATATTTGGAAAATACATAATTAATCATATTACATGCAATATGTGCATTACGTATACAATAAATATTATTACTAATAAATTCGGAATCATCTATGTAAATTACGATTGGATGCAGAATTTTATAAAATTTCAATAAAATATAAATTAAAATGTATTGCATATAAAATGTAATACAAT